TAAGCAACGAAAATATTTTCAGTCATGCTTCGAGATCCTCAGTGTCACATAAATGAGCAGTAGAGAGTTTAGTAGACGGTATTTAGAAAACTTTAATGTGGCATCACCGACAAATGAGCCAACAAGCGAGTATAATTTCTTGTGGCTATATATCATGTGCTTTTATGAGGAAAAATGTAATTGSAATTATATTTTATATGCATGATGTAGTGTTTCATCACTAATGCATTTTTCTTCTTGGTTGACTCAATAATTCACAATGAGCGACGTGCGAGGCGGATTGGCGGGTTGTGTTAATGAGTAAAATTGTGTCAGAAAATATTTGATGACAAATGGTGTCATAATTGGTGGAAGTAGAAATTTTTMTATATTATATGTAGTGAAAAAGTATAAAAAATACATAATTAGGGTACTCAAAACCATGTTGTTTTCGATTCGTTATATCTTATAACTTTATGAAACCCTGCTTATGGTTTGCTTTACATTTTTAGTCAAAATCCGCGCTATTTTCATTCCGCATATTTTATGATTGTATGCAATTTACAGCATATTATGGGTACTTWAAAAAAAAAWTTTAAAAATCTAAAAATTAAATTTTTCAATTTTGCAGCTTTTTTTCACTTGCCCTCAATTTAATTACCGATTTTCTGTGAAAAACTGTGMACTCATAAAATTGCCCAACCTCTCATTTAATTACTGCAATTGTGAAGGCTTGGCCAAAGCAACTTACTTGACTTTATAGTGATTTCCGTTATTTTGCTATTTGCTATGTTATGGTTATTATTTGTTATTTTTTCGATTTGTCTGTGTTATGACTTTAACAATTGGAAACTAATTTATTTGTGTTAATTCAGTACTTGAAGGTCGTTGTGCTGTCAATAACCTGTTTAAATTAATTTTTTAATTAAGTAATAATGGTTATATGCGGAATTCGTTCCCATATACATAATGATATTGTCATGATATTTAATCATTTTGATATTTCCTAGATATTTGAGATAACTGTTTCAAATGAATTTTGGAGATGTACAATATATTCATTTTATATTTTACTGTCAACAACTGATATGATTAAAGCAATCATTCGATAAAAATGGCCAGAACTGATCAACAAAAAGGGCTTTGTCTTCCCTCAGGACAACGCTAGTTAGCACACATCTTTGATGACTTGCCAAAAACTGGAAGAGCTTGACTGGGAAATTTTGAAGCATCCATAATATAGCCCTGAGCTCGCACTATCGAACTATCATTTATTTCGGTCAATGCAGAACTCCCTTAATGAAATAAAGTTGACTTCAAGAGAAGCCTGTGAAAATTACTTGTTCCAGTTTTTCGCCGAGAAACCAGAAAAGTTTTACACTGATGGAGTAATGTATCTAGCGGAAAATTATAAAATATGGTCGAACCAAAATGGTACATATTTGGCTCATTAAAGTTCATTATACATACAAAAAATATCAGTTGAAGTTTGATTAGAAATACGAAAAGACTTTTTCGACTACCAAATACAACATTTGTATTTCTTCAGTGAAGTAATCAGTCACCTTTCTTGATCACATGAAAATGGCCACCACTTACTGAAAGTACATTTTTAGACGTCTTTGGGGTATACTCCTGATTGGCATAAACTCTCAAAAAATTTCACAAATCGAAGTCATGGGAAGTCAAATGTGGAAATCAAGACGTCAGTTCTTGTAATACGCTTTTGACCCCAGGGGTTCAGGGTTTTTTCTTACGGTTAAGTTACTTTTATAGTTTGACTTTTAAGATTAGATGATCCCTAGTCTGGATGACATTAGTAACCATACCGGAACTTTTACACGCAATTTGGGCATGCATATTGAACTAATATTCATTGAATTTTATTTGAAAAAATAATAATAATACTCTATTGGTAACTTTGTAAATATCTAGTTCAATAAACATTTCTTCAAAATTTTAAGCCGAACTATCGTTGGGATTTTTAAAAAGATCGAAATTTGAGATTTTTTTTAGATAAAGCAAAGATTTTTCCAAAATACTCTTTTCCACTACGAGTTTGCTCACACATGTATATCTGGCAAAGAGATTATCCAAATTAAATACCATAGATCATACCTTGAGTTTATGATAACGGCAGCTGACACTTTCTACAGTATCGATTTCATACTCTTCAGACGTCATGTGGATACACGAAAAGACTGCTACATACAAGCACAGTATAGAATATATTATGCAAAGAAAACGTATTGGAAGCAATAAAAAACTACACAAACAAGTAAAACATAGAAAATATAGAGAAATTATTAGAATAGCACAAAAAAATTGTATTCTTCATGAGCTTCAACAGACACAACTAAACGTAGGACACTAGTAAGTTTCCGTCTGATCAAGAAACCAACGCTGCTTCAATAACTATCATATTCAAAACATGAAATATTAGCAAAGAAAAGCAAAAAGAATAATTGGAAATAAGAAGAAGGAATAGCGAAAGAAAAACGGTGAAAGAACATTAAACGCAGAAATGAGAATGTGAAAACTAAAGAACATTCTCCAAACGTACGAAACAATTTTGCTCGCAACACAAACCACAAAACAACAGCCACCAACTGGCAATAGCTGAAAATGCTAAGCAAAGTCGAAAGCAGAAGTCAAGAAAGAGAGGAAAATCTTAAAGAAGGTGCCTGCAAGCCAGCTGAAATCGTAAAGAAAATATGGTAAATATATKAAATTTACATACACATACGAAAGAAGGCCAATGACTCGAAGCAGTCAATGTGTGCTTAATGTGCAATCAGAAGAAAAACAATGCAACAAAAGCTACTTCAGCAAGCGAAGCGGAAGAAATTGTCTACCTGTGTTGTTGGTGTGGCAAGTATTGTTTTCACCTATCTTTGGTAGCTGCTGCCAATATGTAGAGTATCACCACCAATCGATGTAAGCATATACACACAAACTTGTCACAAAACAGACAGTTGCTTCAGGAAGTCTTTATTATGTGAGTTAGTGTGTTGTTCTTTTGCTTCTWACACTGTTACTACCAATATAGTAAATGTCTAATTAAGCAAGGAAGGAAGTGGCATCGCATAAATTTACTCCATGGAAGTGATAATTTGCAGTTGAGCGAGAGAAAATACGAAGAATGGGAGACAGCTAGCACGCAGCTACAAGCGCACCACTTTTATTGGTGGTTATAACATATTTCATGTTCCGCTAAGCGCGCTCAAAACTATTTATTCTTTATCGTCAGCTGTATGTGAGGTAGATACTATAGGAAAATCCTTACAGATACAACACTTTCAAAATAAGTGCGATTCAAATTAGTCATAAAAACCTAAAACTTGCTAATCAAAAGAAWTATATTTATTCAAACAATAAATCTTGAAAAGTAATAGTATTTGTCAACAGCTTAGAAGCAGTCGGCTTGGCACTGGAGTCAATGATACCTTACATCAGTGCCAAACGCATCTCGAATTAACAAAATAAAAGCATCGAAAAGAGTTTATCTATGCTAAATATAAAGATTTGGTATATTTAAATATAATTGTTTAATGTGGTTAATCAGGCATACAGATACAGCAACTATAGGGTAGGAGTCCACAGGTTGCAAATTATTTTTTGTATAAACAATATTGTTGTATTTAAATATTGTTGAGGAATGTGTCTTGGTAGCAGAAAGTACCGTGGCTTTATGTGTAAAAAAAAAATCTTTGTCATATTATCATGACGCAGGGCAGAGAATAAGATGCTCCTTTGGTCTTAACTCAACTCTATCTTTAAACCTCTCATACGGGACACTGAAAAGATGAGGTTAGTAAAAGTACCATTTTTAGTTACGTCGGCCTAAATGTACAGACAGCACTCCAGAAATTTTATCGTGAGAAAAAGGTTGAATTATTATGTAGAKAAAAAATTAACTTTCCACTTAACTCTTTACTTAGATTGCTTGCAAACTTCAATTGCATACTTGTTATCATTTTGGACACGCTCGGCTGGTTTRTATAATTTAAGTTCTTGGCTRCAACCTGRACAAAAGTGAGGTTAACTGAGYTCAGAGGAAAATTRCAAGGTTCATATAAGGCATACATATAAATTGCGTAAAAATTACGAGATATWATAACTAACGTAGCCTATGTTAMWTTTTTTTTATAATTCTCAGTAAGCAACACATATTTTGTTTTCCTTTCTTACGCCAAACAGCCCTAATATGCTTGCGACACCTTGCGAGGGAAGTAACTTCTTAAACCTAAGAAAGCCATTTATACATACATATATACACTAGGATCGGCCAAAAATAAATCGATGGCTTTTTTCGCTTGGTACTCTGAAAAATTGGTTGATGGACACTTCTAAAAAAGCCTCTTCCAATATCAGCTCTTAATTGTAATTTGAAGATCCTCCGTCTACCAGTTTCCTATTTTTTCTCATAATAATKGAATTGAAAAAATATGTACACAGTTCTTTTTAAAACCTAACCGTCTTAAAGAGATAATGTTAAAATTTGGTTTTATTCATAAAAATAAATTCTTATGAATTTTATAACCCAATGAAAATTATCTTCCCATTACAACTAATACTTGGACTCGACTCATACTTGGAGAGTTTTTCATAGTTCTGTCTATAAACCAATTTTTCAGAGTCCGATCAAAAACAATTCATTTATTACCCACCCTAATATATGCTCCAGCTTTCCTTTGTTAACTTTTGCTTAACAGTTTAAACCAAAGTTCCTCCCTCACTTAACTGAAGCATAACGAAGTTCTCGCTTGAGTTAGCCACAAGTACATGTACTAAGATCATAAGTGACTGACTACTTACATATGAACGAACATAATTGATCTGAACTTACCGCAAAAGCATTTGTCTCACAACTGCAATAAATTGAGAAAAAACATTTCGCCAAAGTAGAAGTAAAGAGTTTCTGAACACCAGGGTAAAACTATTGTCCATCACCAATATTCTTTTATCCAAAACTATCTTACTAAAACTGTGTTGAAATAAATAATTGCACAAAATGAAAATTTCAGGATCAACTTCACATATTTATTTCAATTTATATTTTTTTAAATTCATTTACAAAACGCTTAGAAGCAGTCGGCAGTGCTTGGCACATAGCCGTCGCAGTAGTGCCARGTGGACCAGGCCGACCAACCTTGCATACGTAAAATCTTTTGAGCACAACGTACTATGGGTTCGATGTCGTTGGTCAATAATCTATCGCAGCTGATATCACACTGGTTGTAGGAGAAGCGACCGTCCGCAGGTTTGCACCAGTAGTAGTCGTTGATCTGGAAGATACCGTAATCGTTGGAGCCATTRTAGTTGGTTGGGCCGACGACRTYRGTGCGGWAGGAGCTCTCGTGTTCGGCAATACAAGCCCAACGAGCCAACTGATCCCTGGGTACACCCAAGCGAGACATCTCACGAGCCAAGGAGCAACGGTCCAAGACCTCACCGAAGGCTGGTGCGGCCAAAGYCACAGCGACGAGCAAAAAGGCAAAAGCTTTCATRTTGATTATTTGGGAGTGTTTGGATAAAACTGATGAATATTTACCTAAAATTGGTGGTCTTTTATACTAATTAAGAGCAGATCTAATTGAGTAAATAATTATAACATGAAGTGTTTCKAGATAGATAAGTATGGCAATCACAATTTATATTGCAAACACATATACAGGGTGATGTACTTGTATGCATATAATATGAATTATAAACATCACTGAATAAATGTATAAGGGAACTAGAATAATTTCTTTACTGGCTTCTTTAAAACTCAATTATGAATCGCAWTGTAGTTTATTTGACTATTTGGCTTGACTTTRCAATAGTTACTTATCGTGTCTAGTTTCTAAGGTTTTGTGTGTTTACTCCTGGCCGTAGTGTCTGAAATGATTTATTAAAAATCGAAACCGTAAATCACTTGTTGGACTAATATCATTACTTTACGGYATTTCAGAAATTTCGTCTAACTATTTGAAATTACCGCTCGAGAGAACTTTTGCCATCTRAAGTATACGATAAATTACAGTTTATCAATTTATAAGTATGACGTTTTCTTCTAACAGGCTCTATGAATATGTGGCATTTGCTAGTTTGGGAATAGGTTTGGCTTACCAGAATAAGTCTATGTAACACCCTATACCGGTAAAATATGATGTATATGAGAACAAAGAAATTTCAAAATACGATAAATTTGACGTTAAATTTACGCCCTTTAACAATGAATTCAKTAATATATTATCGTTCGTCTGACATATCTTAGAAAACAGCTCAAGCTCTTATCACCTTCAAGACTTATCGCATTATTAAATCTACCGTCGCAAATAATTTAAAAGCGGCTTTCTACCTCAACGAAAGCATCAGTTCTCTCTACTGCATTAAATAATCAACATGAAAGCTTTCGCATTCTTCCTATTCGCAGTCGCTTTGACTGCACCAGCCTTCGGTGAGGTCCTGGACCGTTGCTCCTTGGCTCGTGAGATGTCTCGCTTGGGTGTACCCAGGGATCAGTTGGCTCGTTGGGCTTGTATTGCCGAACACGAGAGCTCCTWCCGCACYRAYGTCGTCGGCCCAACCAACTAYAATGGCTCCAACGATTACGGTATCTTCCAGATCAACGACTACTACTGGTGCAAACCTGCGGACGGTCGCTTCTCCTACAACCAGTGTGATATCAGCTGYGATAGATTATTGACCAAYGACATCGAACCCATAGTACGTTGTGCTCAAAAGATTTTACGTATGCAAGGTTGGTCGGCCTGGTCCACCTGGCACTACTGCGACGGCTATGTGCCAAGCACTGCCGACTGCTTCTAAAATTGTGTGAAAGCTGTTAATTCAAAAAAAAAWAAAWAAATRCATATACTGAAAATGAATTTTAATTTTGAAGTTATTGTGTTTAGTGATTCCGAAATCTTTTCAACTTTACAAAACTTGGCATAATTCCTAAATACAGGAATGATTTTTATATGGCAAATACTTTATGAGTATTTGAACAGACCTGAAGTTGAGAACCGAAAGCAAAATAATAATAAAATGATTAGCACTCATGCAGATCATGTATAATGCTGTTTTTTAGAAACTCATGATATATAAATGAATCTCGTAAACGATTTTCATATGTCAGCTCGCCTTTTGTTTCATTGATGCGGAAACTTGAATAAGAAAAATAGAAACGTTAAAAAAAAWTTTACGGGGATTCGAAGACATACCGACACTTTGTAGAAATTGTCATTAAGAAATATATAAACTCTAAAAGATACAGTGTTATGTGTAAAGCACGCGCTCTGAGATAACTCACATGTTGACATATATATAATCACCMGCAAGTTCGAAAATATTTAATTTTAGCTTAATTTGGACAATTTTGGTCCTAAGGTAGCATATCTCAAAGGGAATATTCGTGCAAAGTTTTATCCTAATATAWTAATTTATTCTTAATTTGTGTACTGGAATTGTGCTATGTGAGAAGTAGGCGTGGTTGTAAATCGATTTTCCCACTGTGAGAATAATGTATCGAAATCGGTCGGCTGTTCCGAGATATAAGATTTTTCCTAAAGGTGAACAGAATGACGCCCATCTTCCAATTTTTACCCCGGTTTCCATAAGGGCCTCTCATACCATCTCGGGCATACAATTTTATTTCTCTATCGTATTTAGTTTTTAATTTATAGCACCTTTAGTRGTTTTTAAGAGTACCGTTATATGGAGAATGGACGGACTTTTTTCGAGTTCAACAATTTTTACCATTTCGGTCGGGGTACTTAAGAGATTTATCCTTAGTGAATTTGGGTATTGTAGCTTTAGTCATCGAGGAGCTGCGTACATTAAACCTATTAGAGAGACAGGAGCCCATCCCCTGTGCAAAATTACAGTTAMTAAATTTTGTTTTATTACATGTGAGTGTTTTTTGCGAAAGAATATGTGTCCCTAGTTTCATCAAGATATCTTATGTTTTACTCAAGTTACAGCCTGCACGGTCCGATGGACGAATAGACAGCCACCCGTTAGATGAACGAGACTGTTATATTCTGTAGCAACATGTTACACATATTGAGAATAGAAACCCTTTCCTTGGACTAAAATCTGTAATTTGAAGAACTAAAATCAAATCTTTAATCAAAGTGCACGTATTCACAATTTTCTGTTTACTATTCTGGAATTATCGCCTATCTCGCGTTTCAGTCCACTTAAGAAACGTTCGCACATTGAAATTTGTAAGTATATACTATAGATCATTTAACTCCGTATCAGTCTACATATGCTGAGATACAAACAAATCTTGAGGAACCACCTGTCTTACTTTGCAAATCAGAGACAAAATCTCTCAACAATAGCTTCCTAACAGTTTGGTAAAATCGAAAGCAAAATTATCTACACTTTGCACTACATCTCACTGACTCCCACAAAAATTAAAAAGCGTTTATGTTATTCTGAAAAGTACGTATATTTGTTGGATAAATTATTGGAAGTAAATTCCAATATACGAACAGCAACAATAACTGGATATGTCTGGAAAGTATTATTAATCAATCTGAAGGTATACAGTCCAGTATACTTAGATAATTTTTCGTCTCAAATTAATACATGTGTGAGATCAATCAAAAAATAGCGGCCAATACTAGAAATAAAACAAACTTTATCAAAAATGTCACCGCTTATTCAAAACAGAGATTATCACAATAGTTAAATGCGGCTATCTAGCGCTATAAAAATATAAARTGATGGATTATTGACCAACGACATCGAACCCATAGTACGTTGCGCCCAAGAGATTTTACATATGCAAGGAGGGTCCACCTGGTCCACCTGGCACTACTGCAGCGGCTATTGGGAATTTTTTGTACATGAATTTTACAAAATATAAATTGAAATACATATKTGAAATTGGTCCTGAAATTTTTATTTTGTACAATTATTTATTAGAACATTAGTTTTAGTAAGATTGTACAGAATAAGAGAATAGGGAGTGAGGGACATACTTTTTTCCAGGTGTCCAGAAACTTTTCGTATTTTACTTTGGTGGAATATTTGTTCTTAATTTATTGCTTTGTCATTTGGCGTTATGTGAAAAATGTACTTGCTGTAAGTTTAGGTCAATTATGTATGTACATATGTAGTAGTCATGATCTGAGCACATGTACTTGTAACTAAGTCAAGCGAGAACTTCGTCATGCTTCAGTTATGAGGGGGGGAGATCTTAGCTCCGACATGATAAGCAAAAGTTAAGAAAGTAAAACCAGAGTTTGCATTAGGGTGGGTCAAGAAACCGAGTGGTTTTTTGCTTCATACTCTAAAAAATTTGTTGATAGCTATCTCTAAGGCAAAGCTCTCCAAGTATGAGCTTTTAGTTGTAACCTTTTCATTGATTTATACAATTATATTATAAAATTGTAACCGCTAAYTTTGGGATACTTTCTTAGAAGTGTCTATCAACCAATTTTGCAAATACCAAGCAGGAATAAACATTCGCCTTTTTATGACCCATCCTAGTCTACATATGCTTGTATAAATTGTATTCTTAAGTTTAAGAAATTACTTCCCTGACAAGATGTTGCAAGCATTTAAGGGTTCTCGTACATAAGAAAGAACACAAAATGTGTGAAATATAAAAAACGTAACATAGGCTATGCAATTTATAATATTTAATATTTTTTACGCAATTTATATGTCTGCCTTGCAATTTTCTTCTGAACTTAGTTAACCTCACTTTTGTTCAGGTTGCAGTCGAGAACTTAAATTATACAAACCAGCAGAGCGTGAGCATTTAATCAATGACAAAATTATAATATATGATAACAAGTATGCAATTGAAGTATAGAAACAATCTTAGTATAAGAGTATAAGTGATTGTTCCGAGAGGGACGGATAGTAATAAAATACGAAGTTGCAGCCTTAACTGTGGAAAGTTAAATTTCCGTATACATAATAACTCCAACTTTTTCTCGCGATAAAATTTCTGGAGTGTGTGTCTGTTTATTTAAATCGACGTAACTGTTTGTGTACATATCCTAATTTTCACCTCGTTCACCTCTTGGATCGTTGCTCTTTGGCTCGTAAGATGTCTCGCTTCGGTGTACCCAGGGATCAGTTGGCTCGTTGGGCTTGTATTGCCGAACACGAGAGCACTGATGTCGTCGGCCCAACAAACTACAATGGCTCCAACGAATACGGTCTCTTCCAGATCAATGACTACTACCGGTGCCAGCCTGCTAGCGGACGCTTCTCCTACAATCAGTGTCACATCGACTGCAATGGATTATTGACCAACAACATCGAACCAATAGTACGTTGTGCCCAAGAGGTGCTACGCATGCAAGGTTGGTCTGCCTGGTCCACCTGCCATTGCTGCGACGGCTATGTGCCAAACATTGAAGACAGCTTCTAAAGTGGTAGAATTTTTGATTGCTATTGAATTAATAGTTGCTTAAATTTGTTGGTGTTCGGCTTTGTTAAAATAAAATACTTTCTTATTCTTTGAACTGTTGTAGTACTTACTCTGTTCTACTTCTATTGAAAAAATTTAGAAGGTTCTTGTCTACAGCACAGTGTGCGTTCGATACCAACAAATAGAATTTCAATAGAAATTTCTTCGAATCCACAACAATACAAAACGCATACAGAAAATAGGCCATCTCCCAGCCAGCAATGAACGCAGTGTTCTACTGGAAAATTGCGTGGTTGAATGTGGGTGCAGACATCGCTAGTGAATAGATGGCGGTTATACAATAGAACGTTTAACTACCGCATTTTCTGTGTTGCGCTTGCGTAGCAGCTCATGTCGCATGCCTCAAATTACCGTCAACTTGTAAGTATTTGACAAGAAAAACATTTGTTTGTGTTTTCGCATGGCTTTCTCCAGTTACCGGAGAATTTTTGTCAGCGCGCACTGCTAATGGCCATCCCTGTTCAATTTCCTTACTCATGTCAGATTGTACCTCTATGTATGTATGTATGTATGTATATCTAGGTGCTTATGGCAGTATACCGTTAAACAATGGTCTTGACGCATTTGTTCCGTGTGGTTAAACTAACATGATTTCCACATGTCATACCGCAACCGCAACAATTTACATGCAACAACATGCAATTTGTGCAAAAACAACTTGTAATTGCATGCCATGGAACAATGGGCGAAGACGTCAATGCTATCATCATGATGATCTGYATCATGTCAATTCTTGATGCTTTTGTTTAGCGCGCATTTAAACGCTTAATTCTTTTATATTTGCTTGCCTCAACGTTGGTTGGCTGGTTGGTAATGCCAACGAAGCTGCGCAGAAATATGAGTAGTATCCGCCTCTGCTTAGCCGTCTAACCTAGAACTTTCTCACACTTCCGACAATCACGCATACACATTCATACATAYATATGTGAGTGTGTCTATAAGTTCTGCGTGGAGTTTAGTTGCATTCAAAGTCATTTAAATTATGCAAATTATTGTTTTATAGCTCTGTGTGTGTGAGTGTATGTGTTAAGCATGCTTTCATCGCTTTTAATCGTTTTCTAAGTATTACGATTGTTTCTTTTATCATTTTTTTTTCTTAGAATTTCATAGGCGTACATACAAGTGTATAATCTTAATTTCTTTTGTGCCATTTCTATTCCCTATTCTTCGTTTTTCTTTCACGCTGCCATTTCAGTTGTTTTAAAAGTCGTTTTAGCGCCCGTTCAACGCCGCCTAAGGTCGATATATTTCAAACATCAGCTTCCTATTCAACGTTGCTGCTTCCCACGCGTTCAGCTGCCTTTTTTGCCAGCTTTTATGATTTATTCGCAGAAATTACTATTTTCTAAAATGATCTTTCCTCGTTATAAGACATGAGGGAGAGATCAACAAAGGAACTTTTTATTTAAATATTTTTCAAAATAAATTTGATATATAGTACGTATGTTTATATAGCGTCTACCAATAGGAATGACGTGACTTTGACAGCTCRTGGCGACCAAGTTTGTTTACGTATTTTCGTCAAATTTTGTCAGTATGTTCAGATAGATTTGCCATTTCATAATGTCACTTTTCACTCTGGGGATGAGTCAAATCCGCGTGTGGTTGAGGAAATGCCATTATGATGGATTTCAAGAACTGTGCGCCGCCTCGTGTTTCTCGTCTAAGCATGGACACATTTTATTCAAAGTTTAGCGGCCCGTTAGTCATCAGCCAATTAATCATTTGATTTAACAAATGTTTTTTCGCTAGCGGTGTGTTCAATCCAAGGCTCCGCTAATCAACCTGCAACGATCGAGGAGCTCGAAGGCAATATTCAGCTGACTATACCCGAACTTCCGGGCGAAATGCTGCAACGGGTCATCGAAAATTAGCGTAAACGGATGGAGAAGWGCAAACTTTATATTCTAAAATACCCTAAATTAACCCTGCTTTACTTAAAGCTCTTACAATATTAATTCTTTTTGTAAATATTTTCTTATATAATGTTAGATTGATTATTTCAAAATAAAAATTTCATTTTCTTTTCATTTTAGGTGAGTACCAATGGCGCTTGAATAGTTTTTCAAAATTTGGATTTCCAATAAAAAAAATTAACATTCAGTTACATTTCGACGAAAATGAACAACAAAAAGCAGATTGAGTTTCCTACAGCCTTATTCCACGTACTGGTATAAAAATTGTATAACCTCAAATTAAATTTAAACTCTATAACCTCGAAATTTATGATTTTTGACWTATTACTTACGTTCTGAGAATTTTCAAATATTTAGAAGTCATACTTTGAGCAAATCGGTCACTGCTGCTTTTCAAATTAGTAAAAAACAAGAAAAAACGTTAACTTCGGCTGCACCGAAGCTAATATACCYTTCACAGGTGCATWTTTTTTAGTAACCACGCGTTCAGTTTGTCTGCAAGCTATACGCTATAGTAATCCGATCAGARCAATTTTTTCGGAGATTATATTATCACCTTAAGCAGTAATTCATGTTAAATTTCGTGAAGACAACCACTTCAAATGCCAAAGTTTTCCATACAAGAACTTGATTCCAATCATTCAGCTTACATGGCAGCTATATGTTATAGTGGTTCGATATCGGAAGTTGCGATAAACGAGCAGCTTCTTGAAGACGTTTGCAAAATTTCAGAACGATATATTCAAAACTGAGGGACTATTTCGTATATATACAGACGGGCAGACAGACRGRCAGACAGACGGACATTTCTAAATCAACTTCGCTCAACATACTGATAATTTACTATATATATATATATACTTTATAAGGTCTCCGGCGCTTCTTTCTGGATGTTACAAACTTCGCGACAAACTTAATATGCCCTGTTCAGGGTATAAATATAGTTATGATTTATAAGGATCTTTCAGGAGGTTAAATGGGAAAATCTTATGGATTGATATTCGTTTTTTCCTTTAAAAACATCGAAAATATAAATGCTAAACACGCTTTTTTCCGAAAAAATCCCTACTTGTATTGACACTTTTTGCAAATAATTAGCATATTTTCATATTTCTTCTCTACAACTGCATTAAAAATCACCTTAAACTAAATTAAAATATTTGGCTCTAGACTCCAAAAGCATGTATGTCATGACAATAATCAAACTTTTGACAGTTTGTCAACATAAAAGTGACAGCTGTCAACAACTACATTGCAGAAAAGGCAAGAAAAATCCAAGCAAGGAAAAGGCATATGTAGCAAATAAATAAAAGCTGAGGTGGTAAAAGAAATGAAAAATCGCCAACGACAAAAATGCAAATGAAAAACATTTGTTACACACAGCCGAGCGCAAGAAAAAATCTTATACAATTGGCTAGAGAGATAGCAACACAAGATGTGCATAATTTRGTGTGAACAAAAATGCGTGGGACTAACAACAACAGCAGCAAAAACACAATGAACCAAGATAAGGCAAGAAATAGAAATGGTTATGGGCAATAAATGTGCGACAAAATGAGAATATTTAGTAGCGAAAAATAAAGTAAAATTCTTAAYTAAATTAACTATAATATATTTATACACAAATTAAGTAATTCCATGGTATAAAATAAAAGAAAGCGCAATGTGAAAATAAGTAAAAGGAAATATAAAAAATTCAATTAAAATGCAAAATATCATATATATGTATATATGTACACATATGGACATACAGACATTGGTAATAAAACAATTATGCGCTAATTTGGTGGAAGTCATAAAGAAATAGTGTGTTCAAAAAAGTACACTCAGCATTTTGAATTGAATGMGTATGTGAAAAGAGCTAGCTGAAGCTAGAAACTGTGTGACCGAATGCTGCAAAGTGTCAACGTATGTAAGAAAGAGTTGCCGCTGAAAAATGTGACAAACGAGCAACACGTCATGATTGCATTTAAGATAAGCTAACCTCGCCATCAGCGGCGACAGTAGCAGCCGCCACACGACCATTCATCATTACGGCAAGAAGCAAAGAAAATAAAGAAAACTTTCTTACCTAAGCATAGAAAAAATTTAAAAAAAGCATATATTAGCTAAACGTCAGCTCAACTACCGACTTACCGAGTTACCGAGTCGGTAGATAAAATTATTTTCCCAAGCAACCGCGTAACAAAATAGTCATCATCTGCTATATATGCCATGCCGAAATAATTGGCTCGAGGAAAAAATTTTAGCACTAAAATATATTATCATATTTTATTGCACTCGCCATTATACGCGCTAAAGATAACAATAAAATAAACTATTATAAAAAATTTAAATTTTGCGAAACAATAATTGGCTGCTGACTTCGAAATAAAGATTTTCTCACATGCAAGAAAAAGCCTTTAAGCCTTTTGGAACACAAAATGAAATTAAAGCGTTTAGATCAGATATAAAATTTTGAGTGCCAATTGTGAGACTCAACATTATTTCTGTCTTAAACATAAACCGATATATTGCGAAATTTTGAAGGAAACTATAATATTTATGTTAAAAAAAAAAAACCTAATTAAAGAGTAGCTTAGCCTTCCTGGCACACAAATATTGCAGTGAAGACTTTTTACTATTTTAATGAAGCGCAAATCCCTTTCTCGCAGCTTATGCGCGGGAGTTAAGCTCCGCATACTTTCTTCGATTGATTTTTTATAACCTTTAACGTGCTGAAAGGTCAGTGYAGTTGCTAGTTATATTTTGCATAACGATGTTTTTGAGCTCCTTCAAAAGCTGACATTTGTGCAATTGTTTTGAACACTGAAATAATTGATTTTAAGGACATTTTATAGATATACATAGATTCTACGATATGTTATGTACATATAATAATTGATAAGTGATCCTTATAATGGCTGCCAACATACATAACTTATGTATAGGTTATCTGTTAACATTTGATTTGAAATGGAATTTCGTATGAATCTGTCAGGAATCAAACGTTAACTTACTTTAACTTACTTTCTAATTTTACAA